TGACGTTAAAGAACAGTACTTTAAGGGCGTTTTGGCAGGAAAACGGATTCATTTTCTGCACAGACAGGGCTTCCACCGCATGCAAAATAAGAAAATACTTTCAACAGAGTTGTTCTACCGTGGACACCATAGCTTATTTGAGTAAAGTTGGAACATACGTTTTTGATGTTTTTTATGGCAAAACTTGCCGGTAAAAGATGTCGAATATCCAAAATTCGCACACAGTTTCAAGTCAGTTAATCTTCAAACTGTTAGATTCCAGTCCTTCAGTACCTGTTCTGGATGTAGTGAAACTGGGAGCAAATTTCTCTCAACGGTAAAATGCATACATTGAACCTTGTGATTAGCCTACAACTTTTTGGTTACTGCAGGTTATGACCAATAAAAAATACAATATCACAGTGGAGTTGAACACAGCTTTCAGTTTACTCGAGCCAACCAATAAAGTTAGAACACATCCAACAAACGACAAGTATATTTGTCGACGATAAAAGACTGAAAAGCAGTGTACGCAAAGTTGTAGATAAGAGCAGCCTTCTCCAACGCTAGGGTGCCTAACTGTTCCACGAAATATATCACATCAAACATATCATTTCTACTTTGTTTAGATCATTCACTAGTTCTGCAAATGTAATGCAATCTGGCTCATATTTTACGGTTCGCTTCAACCTGTCGCCCCCAAGCCGAAAGAAAAGTTGAGAAGAAGAAGTATGGGGGCGGTACTGAGCTCTCAGGCTCACAACTATTCCAGAAACACTGCGCATAAATTGCAGGTGCTCACCGAAAGAATACCGTAAAATGGATGCAGTGAAAATGCAAGAAACATGGCTTCATGAGCCGCATAATGATGGTTTAGTTTATCTGACCTTCTTCGCCCTACTTCGGAAAGATCAGCATTTTTCCAGAAGGAAGCGGTGGGAGTGTAACGACATATACGACTTCAGGCTGGTCTACCTCCAGCCACGTGTGCCTTGGCCCCTCTGACGGTAAAACTGACTGGATTTCCACCAAATACCGTCACGAATATTGTAGAAAATACAAAAGTACATGGATAATAGATATCTACATCGCATCTGACGACAGCTTTCCAGAATTATCAACTTTCTGTGGTAAAGCTACTGGATTTATCTCTGTAGCTCTAAGTGGAACCACGTTTGCATTCTGTGGAAGTTTTAATTCATGTTGCTACAGTTTCTTGTTTCATTAGTTTACGAAAACCAGGTTAACCTTCTTCCTATTTGGGCAACACACTGGATTTAGTGTTCACTAATTTCCCCAGCATAAGCGTAGCTCGTAAATTACATCCGCTGCCGAACTCCGACTACTGTATTGTATATGTTTTGTCCAAAGCGTACGACAAATTGCACAAAGAACTGTTCGGGTGTCTTTGCAAGAAAGCTCAGCGTAGAAGTTAGTCAAAGGATAATATAATGGATTTTCGAAGTATGTCAAAGGCAACAGGCCGAAACATATTTGTTGCTGGATTTTTGGATATCATTTTTACCAAGATAACGGGTGACCTCGAATTCTTTCTTGATGTGTGCCGCTTGGTTGAACCTAGTCTAAGAAATTGACAGACTTTCTTCGCCTCACCTTGGGAGGCTCTGAGAAGAGAGTGAAAGGCTTCATAAGGTGGAAGATCAACTTGGTGCCAAAGGGTTTAGCTGTCTAAATACGTTTGAAATGCAATTTAAAACTGAAGTATTCTGCCTCGTAAGAACCCCACCAACGTGCGAAAAATTACTTAAAGAACATCCCAGTTGATACAGATCACTCAAAAAATCTGTTCCGATATCTGCGCATAAGACCAGTTATTTATGTGTCAGCAAGCTGCTTTCATCTTTTTGAGTGTTGCTATTGCACCTCCTTGGTTGGAAAGAATGGAGCTACTTCTTCTTGTGCTTGAACCCTCGCTGTGTCATCCATTGGCCTACAACAGTTTCCTTGTGAACACAGGGGAAATACTGAAGACGGTGCTACTGTTCTGCACCATGATATTTCTCTACTCTGGCAAAAGATACGAAGTATGTTCTCTGTCCCTTCTTAATTTATGTTTCCGCCTCTATTCTGTTCGTAGGCAACTCTCAATAAATAAGTTTTCCAGTGCTTTTACCGAGGCAATTGTCTTCTTTAAGTTGTAGTTCACCAAACCCTTTTAAATTTTGGACCGTTAATTTTAGTTTCAGACGTAAACAGGACTGCTGCTTCGGTTCCAAGATTGCCGCAGCTTGGACGGCGTAAGGCTATAAAGAAATCAAGTTTTAACTATCCTATATTCTATTTCTTTTCCGATCTTCGTTGACCGTCTCATAGCCTACTGACTCCACAGAAAACCTTTCTTTTAATCCACTACGAAATGGAGCTGAGATACTCTGGTGTATACAATGCAACGTCTACTTTTGTAACTAAACAATCACTGTATTTCACACATTCTTCTAGTTCCCTGTTTTTCTTTTCTGGTCAGCCAGATTAAGGAATATTATGTACCTCATGTGGCATGGAAAGCCGTCGATAGGACAACTGGCGTGCCTCAGATTCGACCGAAAAATACCACAGTCAATAAACGTCCAAAATCCGCAGAAAACTGGCCACAGCCATCTTATCTGATACATAGTTCTTGCATAATCCACAGTTTTCTCCCTCTGTTTCCTTCAGGGGAACTGGAGGGAATTCCGTGAAACTTTACGCTCGTACGCTCAAATACAAAACTTCTTCTGGGCCCTATCAGTCACGTATCTCATGTGAAAAAAGTGTCAGAACAGAGTTTGCTAGTTAACAGTCAGTCTTTCTAATGCCCTAACTCCTTATCCATAACTTTCCTCGTTGCTAACACTATTTACACAACCTGAACTGTTGATAATAACAGTATTAGAAACATTGAGAAGAGGTGCGTTGTTGTTACATTTTTGCACGCTGAAAATTTCGAATTGCATCAAAGGCGTTTAGGATAAAGTTATCATCGATACCATCACGAAAAATTTCTTGGTGTAACCATGGAATGTTGTTTGCATGTGAATATTTATGAAGACAGTACTTAGCTCATATTTCAGGCACGTTAGTCGCTAATGTTTTGCGATTGAACTCACTGAAGTATTGCTTTGCAGTACTTAAGTTAGAAAAATGGAACCAACTTTGTCATATTCTCATTCTCAAACCTCAGACAGATGTGGGACGTGAAATAGCCCTAAGTGAATCCGTCTAAGCTTGATAATGGAACACGATTATAAGACGCTTCGCGAAAAACGCAAGTGTGAAAACAGCGATGGGAGATCTTGGGGCATATGGGAGAAGGTTATACGATCCTCTCATCAGAAGGAGCAGTGCTGCGGGTAAGTTTGCATCGGTCTGACTTGTGATGGGATGAATAACCGAAGGATGGAACTCAAGTCAGTAGGCCCCTTGAATCAAACGCCTATATGTTAGATGGCTTTATAAACCATCCCAGTGAGTGAATGTAAGTATCACCCAGTTTTAGTTATCTTTGAGGGCCCAATAATGTCTTATTTCTTGAACAGATTCTAGGCGCCTCTGCGACCGAGAAGATAGATTCATCGCTGTCAGTTGGGTCAAAATGTCCGTTCACATCCAGTTTTTCAAATGAATGGAACACGCTTTGTAAATCTTTCATATCAAACCAGCGAAATATTCTTATCACGCAACTCACCTCTTGAAAATTTGCTGTCAGTGAAATTCGATCAGAGAGTGAGTTATTAATTAAGACGGAACCTACGAAAACGGGTGCCGAAAAACAATGTAGAACTAAATCTCGGGCATTGTGTCGGGTTGTAATTCCCTTTCGGTTTGTTTATCGGGGCCGCGACACACAGATAATGTTACACTGTATGACAGTTCTAACGAACAGGCCTAAGTGGAAAGCTGGAGAGTACAAATACCTTGGAAGTTTTGCATATGGGAATCGAAACGTCCCTTAAACAAAGAAGAGATGTGGTCAGAAACGAAGTGGGTTCCGAATGATGACGAACATGGTAGAAAACACATGAAGTGAATGCCAACCGAAATAAAGGGCCCACAGTTGGCAGAGTGATAGTAGTGTGACAGCGAAGAAAATTCATTGCACGTGCTGTCAATGGCAAACTTACTTTATGACATAGTATGATAGTTTCTTAGGATGCTGGTAATGCCGCTCAAGTAGTGGGAACTTCATACCGGTTTTGTCGCGCGAACTTTCCTCCCACTGGCCCGTCGTTGCTTCGTGTGGGCGTTTCATGTCCATCCACGCACACCTGACACCAGGGCTAAACTGTCAGAATTGCCGTGCTTAACCTTATTGATATTACTTAGTACGCCTTAGGTTACATGATTGTGTTAAGTTTGCAAACGATTTGCTGAGAATTGTAACAATAAACTCGGCTATCCAGTTCCATATTTTCTCGTTTTGCTTCCTGTTGATATCGTTCATTGGTAATTATATGCTGCTTCCTGATCGTTTTAAAACCAGTGGACCTTGTATTTCAGCTGGCCGTTTCTGAGCGGTTCCATTCCGAGATTCCTGAAGTCATAGTGGTCATGATTATAACCAGCAAAAACACAGTCTCCATGAATGACTCTGAGTACCTGATAACCAGTGCTGTAGTTCGTCATACCTTCACTAAGTCTCCCACACCATTGTTGTTGGGCATTGGAGTAGAGGTCTCAATAAGTGCGGTGATGAAAGTATGTGACATATGTTGGTGATAGACCGAAAGGTGAAATAAGATATTGAATTAGCTCAACAACACGAAATGGAGATAGAAGATCTGAGGGTGATGAATTTAGCGAAATGTGATTCACTTTTGGACTTATGATAATGATAGGAACCTTTGCCGGGTTGAAAGAGGCCGGTTGCATGATTGCATTGACTTGATTGACTACTAGATAGAACAGGTCAAAAACTACCAGTTCCCTACGCTCCCACTATTGATGTTGAAGACAGATGTAAAACGCAAGGAACCACTATTTGCAACTTTTTCAATACTAAGTTCAAAGTTGTATCGTCATACTGTTAGTATGCGAGATTCAGCACGCGCTAAAACCAAGAAACTTTCTCAAGGTCAGCTGGTTTCTAGCTTCTGTTTCCTTGTTGCGTTAATATAGACATTGTGCTCCATTACATCATTTCCAGAAACCTCAATATATCTATGCTTCAGTGAATCTTGATGTACAACTTTGTCATACTTCTTAAATTATTAGTTAGGAAGTGCACTGTGGCAAATTGCCACGTGTGGCAAAGTTGACCGACATAATATATATATATATATATATATATATATATATATATATATATGCGTATATGTATATGCATATATACATAATAATAAAATAAACTTCAAACGCCAAGAAGCCGCCGTTCTCTGCTTCTAAAACATGAAGTTTGAAGTGAGAAATAAAGTCAGAGTTCTGCCTTTTAAGATGATATCATAGGAATTGCTTAGGCACTTTTGTGGATTTGTGTATGCGATTTTCTTTGTAAAGATTCCTTGCGATTGAGTTCTACCGGCATTATAGAATAATCATAACAATAACTTGTAGACGTTCTGCTAGCTACTTTTGTGAATAGATTAGTCGTGTTCACTCCCCTCACATGTGAACATCACACTGTTTACGTATGGTACACAAACACTTGTTACATGATATCAGAGGTGCATTCGATTGGTCAGCCGGGATTTCTCGGTGATTACTTGTTATACGGGAGTGTCCCCGGAATGTTTTGTGATCTTGAAAGCCATTAATACGAACACTTTGTAGGGGGAGGGCATAACTTTTGTCTCCATTGTTAAAAACCAGCAGTTGGGTTAAGCAGCGCTTCTGGGTTTCGCCGTTCCCTCCCAACTTCACCGCCCTTGATATTTTCCAGACATCTCCGTCTGCTACCATTTCATCTTACTGAACGACTCCCCTAAATTTCCGCGGGTCATTTTACAATGAGCGTCTGCAACTTTTCGAGTTTCGAGTATCTACTCTGTATCCATGAAAGCTTACTTCTCCGAGGTGGGTTATCTGACGAGTGTTCGTTTACCGTTATTTCTATAAAATCACTTTTATCCAGTAGACGTGATTTTGAGGTCTGGTAGTGTTTATGTGATTGGTATATATATATATATATATATATATATATATATATATATATATATATATATATATATATATATATATATATATATATATATATATATATAGGTTTATCATAACTCCCTAACTGCGATCTGGAAGATCATTTGACTTAGTGGCTCAAGGTATTGTGAGATGTGGCCCAGGATCTAAAAGTGGTCATGCTATGTCTTATTTGTTTTTGTTTTTCATCAATCAATTAGAATAAAGCAGTGATTGCTTCTTTGTTTGTCCTGAAATTAAGTTTAATATTTTGTGCGGCTGATTGTTTCTGCTCTCCATTCTTTTGCCCTATTCTACACTTATCTCTCTATAATGCCGTTGTACTGCTTTTGGTACATTTCTTGCTGCTCACTTTGAGTCAGTATCATGTTTTAGAGCGATGAAACGCTGACGCGTGTGACCCCTTGTGGTCGGTTTAATTTCCATCTTCCCAGTCATGAAGAAAGCAGGGATATCCTTTCTGAGAAATTAGGATGATCAATAGTATCTAAAGTTTTATGTTTTGTAGTCGCCAAATGCCTAACTAGAGATCAGAAACATGAAACTCGGTGGGTGTTGGTATGACGATGAATATTTCAGCCGGATCTTTACCCTTCACCAAATCTGAAGGTAACATCTAGACTGGTTTGAGTTAATGGCTCATCTAGCAGTACGCAGTGATGTGATTGAGCGTGTCAATCACTTCACTCAGTTTGTAAGCCGGGTCGACCCAAGTTGATTAATGAGCTACGGAATCCCTGCTCTGGCACTAAAGTTTTGCCTAACTTTCGTCAACTTACGATACTTTTGGTGTATATGAAACATGCACCATACCAATGTTGGGTGTGGTATGAAAGTTCATACCTTGACTTACTACGTCGCTATGAAATATGTCCATTGAAAATGAGAAGTAATTCAACCAATACGTGCACGTTGTACGTTAGAAAACCAGTGACACTCACTGGGGCGATACTACCTGGCTGTCTAAACCTGTTTGTAGAGCGGGTCTATTGAGTAAAAAAGCAAGTCATATGATATGAGATGATTTGATATATGTTACGTATGCTCAGCCGCTGCTTATCCGTTGCCAGTTATCGGCCCAATCAGGATTAGTTTTGAAGAAAGTCTGTGGTGATCATACTAGGACGTAACACCAATGCGTGAAGTCTCTGACTATCGGTCTCCGTCGTGTTCTGAATGTTGACTTTGTTATCGGGGCCTAAGAGATCATGGATACTGACGATTTAAGACTGAGTGATATGGCGTCAAATTGATTGCAGTGACGTAGATGTATTCATACCTCATCTCTATTTTAATCGTTTACTTTAACGCCTCTTTTTTCTATGGTTTTATACGATTTTGGATTATTTCCGAAAAGATAGTGCGCTGCCTACCATCTGCAATGATGGTGTAGAGCTAATGACCTTTACATTGATTGGTAACCAATTTAAAACTGTCTACTATATGCTGACCTAATTCTCTTGGCCATTCTTCCATGTGGTTACCAGGCTAGCAGACTTATCATTACGGTGCACTTTGATTAATGTTAGATGGTTGGAGGCAGTCATCAGGACATCCTGGGTCTAGGTTTCGTGATTGTTGACACTTGTCAGCAAGGCGTATCTGCATTCTCCTGGGAAATTTGAATCCACGTTAATCCGTGTTGCAGTCAGCTACGCTACCACTCAGTGGATTCAGTACATTGACTGATCACTGGTGATTAACCAATTTCAGGCTATCTAGTTTTAAGTGCAGACCGAATTCTGTGATTTTTGTCCACTGTTGGCAGATTTGCATTAGGACCATATATATTATATTTCAAGTCAGTGGAATTCAAGAACATGTGGTTTTAAAAATAGCATGAGACTGTCGCAGTTCTCGGTTTGTCAGCATTGAGTTTCTAACGTACCCCTAAGATATTTTGCTTGTTGGCTTAGCCTCCCCACTGAAGCATTAAATTGCCATGTGATATAACTATTCTGCCTTTTTACTTTTCATGGCAAAGTTAGTATCCTTTGGTAAAACAGCCTCCGTTTTCCGAACTGATCCCAATCACTGGTTTTCTCAGTCTTCAAGAAAGAGAAGAAATCCTCTTTTATTACCTAGTGAGGAATCAACCTAGTGAACAATGTCTAAAATTTTATATTCTATGGTTGCTAGACGTCTGGATTCAGGAACGACAAACTTGAGAAAGCCAGGCAGGTTTCTGACCTGGTCTTGGGTGTATCGACCAGATATTCACCCTCTATCAGGTCTTGGAACCCAGGTACGCGTACCGACCCCGGACACCAGCTGTATTTCTCAACCTGATAGTGGTATTCAACTTCGTATTCAAATACTCGCGGGGGTGTTACAGCTTATAGTGAACTGTCAAATGAGTTGTAGTGTCGAGTAGTGCCCGTCAAGGATGTCCACTCTATTCACTCTAATTCAATTTCATCATAGATGCACTTATAGAGGTCTTCCTCTCCTTGTCTAGGTTGATGATATGAGAAGGCTTCACTTTTTCGACCACCGTTACTTTTGTGACATAGACCATATGTCGTGGTGTCACCATGTCAGTAACAATTCAGGCGCAGAATTTAGGTGGGAGAGGTAAGTAAATCGATGTGCTTGTGGACTTTCATCGACCGGAGTGACTGAGAGATGTGTTTACTCATGCCCAGTCGCACAATGTTAGCTGATGTAGGTTTTGTGTGTTAAAAGGTTAAACGCAGCCAAAATAAAACATAGCTTAATGTACTGATAAAGTATTTGAAGTGCGGTAGTTTACACTGTCACTCAGTAATACCAGGGTCTATGGTGATATTGCCTGTCTGAACTTTTTTGAATGGATGCATTAGGGAGAATACAAATGTTCACCAAAGTTTGTCATGATATTTCTTCTGTTATTTACGATCCATTCAGCCAGACAGGATACAGAAAAATGTCGAGAAAAACCCACTTAAACAGTGAACATTGCATTGAAAAATGAGTGTATGGGAGCTAACCGTCTAATTTTTGACAATGTTGCACTGATTCACCGCACTGGTCAGATGAACTCAATTTAATCATTGCAATTTGGTCTTGCGTGCGTGTCTCAAAGTTACAATATTCATCCATAACTTGGGATACTAGAAGAAAATCGAAATGCATTTAGCACTTGATTTCCATCTTATGGGTTGTGCATTCCAATGCAATCCCACCTAGGGAGTTAGATAGTGTCATTAACCCTCACATCGTACCTGTGGTGCTTTTCATTAAGAATATTAGGGTTTTGATTAAAAGGGTGTATGATTCCATTTGAAACAAGGTTCACACTAAGAGTTTCAGCATAAAGTAGGCAGTATGGGATCTACTGGCATTGTGGAGTCGTGGCTCATTGGTCTGTGGAGTTGACTTTCAACTAGTGGGTTACGGGTCCAATCACCGCTCCACCCTCCGAGGTTTGGGCAGCAAGGTAGTATCACTAGCGCACACAAAAGGTGTGGCTCATTACCGGTTGCACGAATTTGCACAAGGTTTCTAGGTTGACTACTTGGTAGTGGTTGCAAGGCTAAGAGCTAAATGAAATCATAGGAGACGCAATTGTAATAGTAGTGAGACAGAAGTGGGACAGAAGCGACGAGTCATGGTGAATATTTGGTAGTTTTCTTGCCATTGGAAATGTGCTAGTGGTTAGTGCTTCCTGGCTTTCCATACTGGAAAATCGCTTTTGTACTGTCTCAAAAAGAAAGTAGTTTAGCTCTTATTACCGCAAAGCCCACATTATATTAAGTACATGGTCTTTGAAAGCGTGTTAGTGTGCATAACGAGTTTTTGATCTTAATTGTATAAAGGCATCATTTTCTTGAGAGTGTGCCGGTTTATGAAATGGAAGTCATAATATACGAAAACTGGATGATTTTATTTTTGGAGTAGATATGTTTTTTAAATTCCAAAAATAAATGTTTAAGAGACTCAACTCGAGTAAAAAGATGTAGGAAGTAACGTAAGATATCGCAAATAAAGGTTTATCTCAGTTTTGGTCCCAGACAATAAAGCGAAACTCGGGAATACTATGAGGTCACGTAAAACTGTTTTGCAGTTGTAGTTTTTTTGAGTCCTAACCTTGAAAGTCATGGGTATGTGGTTGGTTGGCACTTTCGAAGACTAGCATAAGTAGTTCAGGTTTGATGATAACAATATTAATCCACGATTATGTTCGTATCTTGCATCAGTATTTTTTAGAACTACGCTTATTCCGCAAAAGATTACCTGGTCCTTTCCCACTTATTGCACTACCCATAGTTGGGTTTACCATTTCATTTAGTCGGTATCACTGTAGTACCTGGCATCACTGCTTAACAGTCCAAATCGCCAAACATCACACCACATCAAGACGCGAGGTGGCATGATGAAAGATGGATGGATAAGGAAAAAGTGTAACGGAAAGTCGTAGAAAGCTGTATGAATAGAGGAAAATGGAGTAAAGCAACAGTAAATTGTGATATAGCGACTAAACTGAAGATAATTTGTGGAAGCACCTGCCCCACTGAGATCGAGTCCCTACCATTTCATCTAGGGTCCACAGCCACCGACTCCTGCAGTCACGCGGACCCCAAGTGCTAAATATAGATTTGTCTGGATTCCTCAGACCAACATTCAGGGATTTCGAGAACTGATACCATGTTTTATTTTGGCCAACTTTGACTTTTTCCAGCCTAAGCTCACTTCAGCTTACGTCACATATTGGGGTGACGGCATGCATAACACGTCATGGCTTTACAAACGCACCAGGTGACTTACCTCTAGTACATATAACTGCACGCCTGACGCTTCTGTTTTATTGAAGCGTTGAAACGATGATACTTGGTCTATTCTACGATAGCAACTGTGGTCCAACACGTGAGGTTTTCTGATGTCCTCTATCTTGGCAATGTTTCACAGCTATATGGTAAAACTGAGTGATCCGCTGTGCATTATACTCGGGCCTCAGTAAACAATCAGATATCTCACCGGCATCCTAGCTGACGTGAGTCGCCAAAAGCCAAATGAAGCTCTTATCTCAATGCAGAGGTTTCTTCGGTCCCTAACCTATCAGGGTTGATCTAATTTTCCAAGTGAAGTGGTCAGAGCATATAAGTACTTCAATCCATAACATCAAATGAGTCAATAGTTTGCATTTGCCCGGTGAGTAACACATCCTAAACACTTCCATATGGGCTCGTGAGGTGTACAAAAGACCTTGTATCTTGTCAGTATCTTCACCTAAAAAGGTTATGTCGTCTGAATCGATATAGACAATGAAGACTTCAAAGTATTCAGGAAACAGGAAACAAAGTTCATAGCGTAACGAATATATACTCAATCATTCCATTGATTCTCTTTATATTGTTATTTTCACAATTGAACCATAATGTCTCTTCGTCGTCATTCCCAAATTTGCACTTGCCAATGACTAAAGTTTTGGTCTATCTATATCATCTTTACTCCCCAAAGAACTGCTTCTGAAGAGCTGTCCTTCAGCTCGACATCCTATGCAGCTACTCTGAAACCACGTGCATCGTTTAGGCTAGCCACCAACGTTCAGACTGACACAGACCGGACAATAGACAATTTTGACTGGGACTTTTGAAAGTCTCGCTGTTGATATTCATTGTTTCTCAGAGGCCCACAAGCATCATCCAAGTGAAGCTGTTTGAAAGACATATTATAAAAAGATTTTGAATAATGTTTCAATCTACCAGTTCAAAAAATGTATTTATAGTGCACTAACCTGGGGACCCCGTGGCATCGGCAGTCGGCCTTGCTGGTGTTGTTAGCTACACTAGTCGGATGGATACCCACCAACAGTCATACGTGTTGCTAGGTTAGAAGGTCCGATTAGATTGAGAACTGGCAAGGGAGACTATGTCTCTTCATTTTTCTCTATGCTCTGACCGATTGCAGCCGAGATGTAGGTAAGAATAAGTTCTACTACCAACTGAAACAGCTGTACCTTGTGCGCTAGACAAATATAGTAGTGGTAGCTGGGGACTTCACTGTGGAGATCGAGCATTCAGGCTCAGAGCAGGATCGTTTAAGTGGTCATTGAAGGGGAAATGAGTTAGTTGTAGATCATACAATGGGGGAATTCGTCCGCGGCTTCTCACAGATCACAACTTATTTCTAGTCAGCATCAGCTTTCGGCATAGCCATCGCCGTTTTGCTACCTCGCGTCTTCCTTCTGTCTTTGAAACATGGACTCAATAGGCCACATTGCAACCAGCTACTGGTGGTGTCGGTATGTTCAGAACTACCGCTCGTTTTGCAGCACTTATCTGAATTCTGTTCACCCTTTATTATGTTCTTGCGTTTTGGTGATCATCAAAATCGTCATCTGAAACTGGACGTAATCGAAGTGGTTTTACCTGGTATTGCAACTAAATACTAAAAGAAGTTATATTCAAGGCTAGAAAATGTAGATAAGCATAGACTACACTTACAGGACACTATGAAAATGATGAGTAAAGCTTTGTGGGACTTCGAAGAACATTCTGGCAATTAAAACTATGTATATGTGAGCTCCTTGTAGCTTCTTGACACTCGTCAATGCATTTTGGCAAGTAGCTAGCTCAGTGGCATGCATTGAGTACTCTACACAACAGATGACACAGCATTTGCCCAAGGACTGTAAGGGTTGGTGATCAAAATGTGCGAGTGATATGAAAGCAGCAGCTGCATCTGGCAACAATTAGAAGCTTTTTTGGCTCATCTGAACCGTTGTTAGCAAAACACTTTGTGTCAATGAGATGGTCTGTTAAGTAAATTGTACGCCGATCCTCAGCTTTTTCAGACGCTTGAAACACCAGGCACAGCAGTTCGAAAAGCATTTTAGCCGGCCTGCTACTCCAGCAAAATATATTTCACTGTCCAGTACTCCATAGTTAGTTAACACCGATCCACCCAACGTAGAGAAGAAGGAAATCCAAGTTCTAAAGGGCCATAAGGCACGTTGCTCAGACAACCTACCCCAGCTCTTTGTAAGGGTGGTGGTTTTACTGTTTAAATCACACTCAACCAGTTAGCGATCAGCGTTCGTGGTTATGGCATGTTTCGCACTCCTGAAGCGCATAGGTCATCTGCAAGATCGGCTGGAGCCTATACTTGTACTCATCCTTAGTTGAGAATCGATGAAACTTGTCGAAATGTTTGTATACCTGGGTTGTTGTGTGAGTGTTGGTGGAGGCATGATTCATGAGATTTCCAACCGTTTATTTGGTGAGGGAACAGCATTTGCCAATCTGCGGCGCCTTTGGTGCCTATCTGTGAAACGTTGGGTATGCAGTGTGTCGATGTAGACATTTCCGCTCTGCACCTGCGAAACTTGGCCCCTGAGCTGGAGATTTTCGGTGACTGTTCGTTTTCTATCACCGTTGTCTCCCCTAGATTCCCCGCATCTGGTGGAAACTATGTATAAACAATTCTGAATTGGTGATAAAAATTGTTATTCATTGAGTGAGATCGTATTCACACACTGGTTTCCATGGCTTGGACATGTCGTCTCAGCGCCTCCCATACCGCCCAATATTCGCTTGTCTTGGGATTGTTTTAAGAAAACAGTGAGGTGGCCAGTGCATGGTCTGGTGCCGGCAGATGAAGAATAATTGTGTGGAGTTGCCATATTTCGGTGCCCCATGACTTTGGATGGGGTCCGAGAAACCATGCAATTCACTGGTTGCAGACGATAGCAGATATGACTCAGAGGTAAAATGAAAGTAGCAAGTACTTCTTTGTTTGGCTGTTTGAGACTGCTTCTCTGACAACTAATTTGTCTCTTTTTGTTTCTTTTCATTTTAAATATATATATTCTCTTCTCCTAATGTTCTATACTATTTTGTCTGGCGCATTTTGCCGTGCTCATTTTGTACTATGTTTGTGTTCTAAAAAATAAATGATAATGCAATCTTCACACTCTATATTTATACGAATCTTTTTTAAGTGTCCTCACGCAATTTGTGTCAGTATTTGACTGGGGAATTTTTCTATGCTAGGGAGTGATTTCTGACAATTTGTACCTGTTGATATTTTTTCTCAAGTGATCTATGGGAACCTGTTTTATAGGTGAGATTCTTGGTTGGGTCCCATCAGACAACCAGAGTTGGTTTTTGGAGACGCAGTATTGATCCCATTCACTCTGAAGCGTCTTGATTTAATCTAAAAATGGTTATAATACATCTTGACCCGTTTATCATCTTAGATCTCTTTACCACTTTTAATAATAAACTGTTTGTTTCGTTGTCTTCTCTCTTTTCACCCTCGATCTCAATGGATTCATATTGACGATAACAGTAATATCAGGCCTCATTTTGCTTATATCTGTTTGTTTGATCGAGTTACTATTGTGATTCTCATTGAAGGGATATGTATGGTCACATGTAATATTTATTCAATGTTATGCATTAAACTACTCATAAGTAACTCATATTTTTAACAGATTTCCCTGCTTTTCTTCTGTTGGCTATTTGAATCTTTATTGTTGTCTGATTGGTTGGAGTGACGAGTTGACTGGCAGTTACCTTTTACCTTTTGCTGTCTGTAGCTGTTTACAATTTACACTATTCAATATAGAAGCAGAGATCATTGCCATCAGGAAATAAGGCAACCTTCCAACTTGCAGCAGCTCTCGGGTGTGTGAATCTAGGTGAAGCTAACAGCGCTTTGGGTAAGCAATGGTTGATATGTCTTCATTTTTTCAGTTATTAGTTATTTTTTTTTTCTTGAAAATGTTGAGGTTTTTATCCTAACGTAGTAAAATGCTTAGCCCCAGCTCATATAAATTCGCTATGGGGAGCTGTCGTTTACTGATTGAACCATACGTTTGGAACCTACGCCACCTGCTCAGATCTGGGCAACTAGGTAGTGTCACTAACCCCCACAAAATAGCTTTGGCTCATCATCTAATTCACGAGTGTTTCCGTGGTTGCTAAGTTTCGTTTCATTTCATTTTGAAAGCAATGGGCTTCAATAATCCCTTATTGTGCATACATTCCAGGCAATTCAAGTCTAATTTACGTGGCATTGTTTTCTAGTGATAGAAACATAACTTCGTTTGCCAAAACATGTAAGTATATGGTTTTATATCATCTTATCCCCTTCAGTTATGGTATGAATATGAATTAACCTTTATGATTCACTGGAAAGCGAAAATTACTGATAATATAGTAACTACATAAATGTGACTCATCTCTATAAAGTTGTTATAATTATTCTGGTCAACATAGTAGTTGGTTACAATTGCGACATTTTAACTTGTTATGTTGAGTTGCATCTTAATATTAACACATCGCTTGCAACCAATAGTTAACCTGTACGTGATTCACTTTGATAATTGCTTGGTGTTTTCTAAACTTCCCAGTTTGTTCTTGAATGTTTCATAACCAGGCTAGGTAATTTCATCAGCATTTATTTCATAAGGACATGAGACAATTATCACCCCCACTCTGCGCTACACATTTTCTCTGTTATTCAATTTGTTGACACAATTTTACATTATTTGGATAACTTTTAACTCATATCTTGAATAGATTAATAATTCGTAATTTCATTCTAGAGGTTATGGTTTTTACTTTTGTTTCTAACTTTAATTATTACTGGCCGATTCTGAACTGAATTTTATTTTTTAATTGCCAGGTACCATGAACATGATTAATTCTAACAATTCTGATAACCTAACCGCTGGGAACAGAAACTCAACTAATATGATTTTTACAAAAACTGATGGAAACGGTTTAATTGACTCTGAAAACCTTTCTATTACTCAGTCGGATCAAGTATCCGAAAGTCCAATTTATACAAATTACTCGAACCAAGACATCAAAACTTCGAAAGCAAGTTGTGAAATTCCTGCTGATGAGTGTTGGTTATTCAAACCACCAAAGCTTCATCAAACACAAGGTTCTGTTGAACCCATTAATAAATGGCTACGTGCTATATTTGATTCACCAGATTCACGTTTTTATCATTCTCGTCGAAATCTTCTCTCTCGCCTCGAAGCGATCATTCTGGCCGGTGGGCAAACTGAAGCCTATCACTTTGGAGGGAGTGTTCCATCTCTGCACCTAATCAATTCAGGATACCCACCTGTTTCACATAGAGGGGGTGCAGAATTGTCTGCATATGGGTCTAGTATATCTAATCGTATGGTCACAGCTAGTTCATCAGATAGTCTTTCTTTCCCCAATCAGCCTCTTAGTGAAAATACTACAATAAACAATGAGCTTATTAACGTTGGGACTTTTACGCGTTCCCATAAACCGAGAATAAGTTTACCACCTCAATGCAGTACCAGTAAATCTATGAGAAATGGTCCTCATAATTCTAATTCTTACTTATCTAACTCTACTGGTGCTAACTTTTCATTCAAATCACCCAACAAAACAGGATCTTGTGATGAATTGGAAATCACATCAACTAACACTAATGTGCAAGAGATCGCCAGAAGACAAGAAGATGCCTTAAAGGCAGAAGTCGCAGCCCTAGCAGCAGCGGCTGCTGGCAGACATGGCAGTCAACACTCTCTTGCTTCTTTGTGCCGAAACAGTCCACACGGCAGTTATACAAACATTGCCAGTGCACCAGAGAGTCCCCATTCAAGTTCAACGAAGTTAAACCAACCTCATTCAAATTACGAGAATTTCTATGCAAAACAATCTTTATCAGTTTCCCAAGAGTTTGAAGGCCATGTTACCAACCCAAGCCAGCAGCTGACACAAAATGTTCAACCCAGTTGCTTCTCATCAGATACTCCTCCTAGGAAAGACTCGTTATTGAACTTGACTACTCACGCTTCTAGTGTATCGAACATCAAGCAAAACCCTTATAAAATCTTACCTCAGAAACCTATGCTGGCTAATATTGTTTCAGCATCAGGGGATGATTCTAAGTATTCCAAAAAAATCTCTGGAATTTCGTCATATCCACCTGTAAATTCTTTCTCAATACCTGCCGTCACAAACGTGCACAACCCTGTGGTAGAGGCGCGCACTCATTTCGGCTTTCGATCATCAAGAAAAATCACTACTATTCCATCGGCTATATCTAGCAATCCGGGCTTACTTCGTACATCCGAGGATCAGCTTTTACCTCCTGGAAATAAGTAACTCTAATCCTTTTGATTAGAGTTCTTCTAGTCTTCCGCTTAGTTTTTCAATATCTTATTACCTACTAATTTACCATTGGTTCAGTTTTTCAAGAAATCAAGTTGACAGTAGGATTACCGTCTAGGGGCAGTATTGTTACACAGTCATTATGATCATATATTTGCCTTATGTTGTTGCTGTTAAGTATCATTGCCGTTTTTGAATGATTTTTGCATTGTATAGTGAAGACTTTATTTGATGTCTAATGTTAATTCTCTTACTGTTTTCTTCCTCCTTCTCCAACTGCATTTTTCAGTTCTACTGGGTTTTTTTGGAAGGTGAATAGCATTTAATCTATGGTTTACACTTAAATTCATATATGTGCTCTGTATCAAATCCACATAACGCTTTGTTTTTTGAAGATATGTTCTAACTTGTGACCCGGTTTGAGTGGAGTACTATGATCTAACTATTTTTTGTTGTTGCCATTTTTACTGTGATATACATACATATATATGATAATTGCTTCTTCTTTCTACAGAAAAGTCAATAAATTTAACCCGAAATGCTTGCTTTAATGTGTTTATTTCTTTTCGAACTTAGTTGATAACTGTCTTACTCATAATTTATGTTGCAGTGACTTTTTGCTGGCAATGGATTCCGATCTACCAAGTAAGCCTTATTTGATTTTTTGTATTACTTCATAATGGTTCTGCTCTCACTTTATTGATTACTAACTCGTCAGCATGTCATTTGTTTTCAAAATTCCGTTACTTTGTTAAAACATTTGTAATAAAATGAGAAAGGGGGAGGGAAAGAGAAAGAGTGCTTAAAAAGAGCCAGTGGATCTCAGTCGCTTCTTCTGAATTGATGGATGCATGCTAACGCGTCTCTGCAGGCTCCCGAGTACAATGAGGAGCGAATGCAACTGGAACCTAGACTACCAAAAAGTCGACGCAATGATCACGAGCAGTGGTGGGTAGCGAAGGCTAAAGAGATGGAGAAGGCAGCGGCGATAAGTAACAGTAGACAATTATTTGGACTTATTAAGGAAACTGGAGCGTAAAGGTCAATGGTTAGTGAGACTGTAGCGGAAATGGGTGGGTCTACGATTCACTTACAGAAGAGATGACTAGAACGTTGGACAAAAAATTTCAGCTGGCCTTCATCTACTATTACATTTCCCGCTACTCAGTCGAAACCTGAATGAAACACCGAGATATTACCCCCAAGACTTGCCGAAGTCGATAAAACTATAGATAACCTGGAACGAGAAAGAAGAGCAAGGTCAGACGGACTAGTTCCAGAGGTGGTCAAGGATTACTGGTTAAACTAACTGAAGTGTTAGCTAGTGTATGTGAGTTAGATATGAACCCCTATATCTGGTCTCAATCGCTGGTTATGCTAATCTTTAAGGAAGGCGGGAAGTCCTTTTGTGATAAACACGAAGGAATCAGTTTGACGAATATGGTGTCTAAGATTCTAGGTTCTATGATCATTATACGTCTGAGTGGAGCTTGGAAACAGGAAAACCAGGTAGCCTTCAGACCTGGTCGCGGGTACATCTGCCAGAAATACACAATCCGCTAGGTTCTGGGACACAGACACATTTATCGACGCCCAACACTTGTTATATTCATCGACCTGAAGACAGCATTCAGCTCCGTTGGTCGAGGCTGAAAGAGGTACTGAATGAGTACATCACTCTGTTAAAGACTCTTTTCTCAAACACCCGTGGGCGTTTTAAAGTCTGTGGTAGGTTGTCAGGTGAGCCATGTAAATCGACTGTTGTCTATCAAAGATACCCACTCTCTCCATTCTTGTTCAATTTTATCATAGATGTTCTTATGGAGATCTCCCTCTCGACATCTGATATCACAGGGATTGATCTAATCACAGGAGAATCCCTGGTAGATCTAAAATACACAGATGACATAGTTCTGTCACGTAAAGATGCTGACAAGATGCAAAGCCTTATGGACATCTTGAGTGGCACTTTGAGAACGTCTGGGATGCATTTCTCTCCATTCAAATGCAAACTATTGGTCCAGGACTGGTCTTCATCAGTGCCTTGTCTAACAATAGAAAGTGAAGCAATTGAGTTCATTGACCACTTCATTTACTTGGGAAGTTGGGTCAGCCCTCGTGGCTCAGTCGCCGACGAAATCTCTGCATGGATACAAAAAGCTCAGTTGGCTTTCGTCACCTGTAGCGCCGCTACGATATCCGACTGCCTATTAAGGGTCGAGTGTATTGTGCTGCAGTTCGCTTTATCCTACTTTATGGCTATGAAACATGGCCACTAAAGTTTGAGGAAATGAGAAGTATTTGACTACCACTGCCTTCGTAGCATAGGCTGTGTTGTGGTGTCACCACGTAAGTAACGCAAAGTCAGGTGTAGAGTTTTAGGAAGGAGAGTTAAGTTAGTTGATGCGGTCTTGAACCTCTATTGATTGAAGTGGTTAGAACGTGTGTTACACAAGCCTTGTCGCACAATGTTAGGTGAGTTAGGTTTAGACTGGAAAAGGCTTCTAGATGACCAGACTAAAACGTGGCATAACTTTCAGAAGTCTTCAACTGGTGGTTTGAGTCATGTAGAGGGAGATCCAGATTAGCCGGTTGGCGCCCACCTGGTGAGGGGAACTGTTGGTTGGGTACTCTAGGTGATATATCTCGGAATCAATGTTAGTGGTGCAGATGTACCCACATATTACTTTAATCGTAATTCAGCATTTTCTCCTTCCTTCACCCTCTCTTTTACTGCTTTCTACTGCTTTTGACCAATTTTCCCTCACCTTTCATCTTACTGCGTTGTTTCTTGCTGTGCTGATATGAGGTGTGGCAACTTAAACATCTGTGCATTAGTGCTTGATCCTATGTTGATAATGATTGATTAGATAAAAAGTCGTCTTGAGAAGCCGCTGGAAAATGATGTGTTCTGGAAAGGTGTATTTTTATTGTTTTGGGTACTCCTCGAAAATACGAACTATTGATTCTTTACGTGTCTAAACTGTCAACTCTCATAACAACCATGATACCATTGTATCAGAATCCAGTCGTCGCTACTCTTTAACTCTAATCATTTCATGGTTGAATGTGATCATACACTATCCATTATTAGTTCTCACTTTCATGTAATTTGTAAAAATCCAGGACTTTTATTTTGTGTTACAGTCCTATCACTAACTGACCGAAACAAATGAGTTTCGGTTCAGTACGTCAATTGAAACCTACTCCTAACCAGACCTGATCGTCTTGGATTGGGTTTCAGATAGAACCAGAAGTACTTACTGACGGGGATTCTCAAACCAGTGCAAAATAGCTGTTCACGGCTTCCTGATGATAATGTTACTTCATGAGGAAAAATTTCTAATAATATGCCTACATATTTCTTATGTTCTATATTTCTTCAAATTGTTGCTGAAGTTGGAGAAACTATCGCAAATGACTGGGTTTCAGCGTCTGTATGTGTGTGTGTGTGTGTGTATGTCGGAATATGCAGAACTGGTTGTACTGTGGTTATCCTTTAGCTTTGCACTTTTTTCCTTGTAATAAAGCAGATGATTTATTTGGTTGTTGATTTTTCATTGTGATTCTAGAACACTCTAAATAGTTTAAAGTTGTCAGTATTCTTTTCGACCAGATCATTCTCTTGGCTGTACACTCGTCAGTATATAGTAAAAAGGATAGAATATTTCAGAGTAATTTCTAGTCAAAGGTCAATATGAGTCGCACCACAAAGGAAAGATACGTAGTGGGGCGTAAACAAAATGATTACAAAGTAAAAATATATGGGTTATGGGTGATCGATAATCTACGGTGGCCATGGCAAGGAAGGAGGTTGTAGATACATTTTTTGAAGGCATGATGATGGTTTGAGTTTCTGAATCGCTTATGCTTCAGCTATGCCCAGATATCTTAGCCTCAATCCTTTCGAGTGACTTGGCCGCACTTTGTGCAGAATTTTGAGCAAAAGTTACTCTGGAATATTCTATCCTTTCTACTATATATTCACGAATGTACAGCTAATAGAATGATTTCGTCGAAAAGAAAATTTTTCCTTCTCTGCAGTCTTGTATTTTCCTATGCTTAAATGGGATTGTTTCGATATTATCAGTATTCAGCCAGGGAATCTAAGGGAACAACAGTTTCTTCATGATTACGGAGACACCTTGTTAGACAGTAACAACATACATAAAACTCAGGATCAGGACGTTTTGTTAACTGATTCCTAGCACCCAACACTAAGTTCAACTTCGTCTGAAGCATAATTTCTTGCCGGAATTTTGCTAATACCTTTGGCATAAATCATTTTTATTTGACTGCACATCAGATTGTAGACGTTTCTGTCGTTTGATTGCTCTCGGGACGTGAATTTTTACACCCATAGCTTTCATCGGCAGTTTAGTCCGCATCTTAAGAGGATGTTCCAGTTGTTTAGGTGGGTTCTGGTGAATCATTACCTTATGTCTGCCGAAGTTTTGGCTAGCGAAACCTGTTACTGGTTCATATATTCTGTAAGGTGATTTCCAGTCGTTAATTTGAAGATATTGATTTATGTAAGATAGTAAGTCTCTTTACTGGGGAAATCAGTATTAGCGCTAAAACCTAAAATATATGCCGCATACTGTCAGTAAGTATTGGTCTTCAAAATGTTTTCAGTTTCAAGAGAATAGTGCAAGTCCTTACGATATTAATGCGATCTAAAATTCGCCTCTGGAATACTTTTATCGTGTGTTTGGGTGCTTTGAATATTAACCTTTTGTAGGGATACTAGTGTATCTTCTTTTTTATGCTTAAATATTTGTTTCAGACTGTGGAAATAGTCAAACTGATGTTACAGCTTCATATGAGGAAATAAAAAAAGTTTGTGAAAACTACGAAAAGTTTACTGGATCTGATATCAGTTTGAGTGAATTTTATTCAGAAAAGCTAAAGTTAAACTATATCCGAGACGATTATGAAACTATAAAATATGAATTATCACTGATTAAAACAAATTGTCAACGTGCTCGAAACGCACTTTTAGCCGCTGGATTTCAGTGTCCCGATGATTCGGCAATAAGTTAGTTCAGTTTCACTTTTCTTTCTGACCTTTGTGTACTTTTGGTTAATTCTCTATTTTGATTCACGGTTTACGCCGTTACGTCATCATTTTGTTTTTTCCCCTTCATCCAAAAAGCAACTATTCCAACTCGTTTATCACACATAGGATCTTGTTTCTTTTTTCAGAACATATACTACTAGATAGCATGAATCGTTGGAAATCGCATATGGTAGTTATTAGTGCTTACAACTAAATCGCGGAAATCTAAATACTGACTGAACGTTTTCTAAGTTTTAAACCGATCTCATCAACGGTAAACCATAGACTTTCACTAGTCTGACTACTTGACTTTCAAACCGCGTATCACGGGTTTGAACCCTGCTCCACCTACTTAAATCAGAGCAGCCAGGTAGTATCAGTGGCCCTCACATAATAGGTATTGCCTACTGTGCGAAAGTGTATATAGTTGGTGAGTGCATTTCCATTTCTCCCATAACCTTTTTACAGTGAAATCGTCCAAACTATCCTGTTGACCACTTAGCACTATTCCACAGTCATTTAAGTGTTTACCGTACGCTTTTCAGGGAATATGTAGATGTCACCTATAAACCGACTAGTCCTACAGTGAAGTTTGTAACAAGCATTGAACAATATAAGGTCGAATCTAAGAGGATGAATAAATGTTGTTTGAATTTTCTGATGCACGCTATTAGTCAATACTTAAATTTAATGCTGTATTCCTCGCTGATCATCTTAAAGCAGTCAATTTTTCTTGAATTTATGTTTTGCTTGACTAACTTAGATTCCCATGAAGATGTTGCAGCTGTACACTGTAAGTGCATTAGTCTCACTTATTTAAAGGCATTTATGTTCATGCGAAAAGCCGTTCACTCATTCAATAGATAAATGATACGTTAAATAGCATCTCAACAAAGGAAGCTATACCGTGTTACCTATTAGGTTTTCATTTGCTAACTTTATTATGCCATGTTCACAAGTCGCACAGATTCTTAGTTTCAGTGATGTTTTGAAAGCTTACCTATAGTGACACGAAATCCTTATGGGTTATACAAAAGTAGTAGTAAACGTTGCAAGTAGGTACCATTTTAAAGAGGCAATGGATTTTTCAGGTGGTTGGATTTATCGACGGATATATCGCTGCCAATACTAAAATTACTACTATTCAGTGGTAATATCGCCTGATGCAGTTTTAGCATATCGTATGAACAGTGAATGCACTAATTTCACCAAGTAGGCTATCTTTGTTTTGTAATATCCTTTATCTTCTGTGAACAGTTGTCATTTCTGTTATTCATTAGGATCACAACGGTAATAGAAGTCAACTGACCATCTAATACCTAATTGGTGATCAATTGGATCTTCATATATATGTTTTAGTACATCAGTTGAGGATATTAGAGTGCTTCTTAATAGACAGTCAAGAAGAGTGATTTAAAGTAATGCAAGAACTTATAAACACATCATTCAGCTATAACATATAGTTTTAGGATAAGATAAATTTATGTTGTTGCTTATATTGTCCCGTCGTTGATTGGACCGAATTAATCGGTCTCTGTTGACATATAGGCTCCTGCGCGGATGCCTTTGTATTGCTCGTGTTTTAGTTATGCATTAATGACGGATAGTGGCTAACAGTGGCATCCAGAACGCCAGTTTCGTCTTATTTGAGCCTTGTCAGCTACGTTAAAACTATACTTGTCGCACAAGAAGTTTCTATCGTGGCTCGGTGGTCTAGTGGACAACGCCTTGGGGTTTGGAGCGGTCGGTTCCGGGTTCGAGTCCCAGTGGGAGAAAAATCACTCACTGGGAGGTAGGTACGTACTAACCGACGAATTCAAGACATGAGGAAACGCGCGTCCTAGATTCCACTGCTAGCCACTATCCATCATTAATATGTTATATAGGCAGTTGTGGTCTAAAATAAAGCAAAAGCTTATAAGCACATCATTCATATATAGTTTTAGGATAAGATAGAGTGCCTCATTTCCATTCACGAGATAGAATTGAAGCCAAAATCTTAAATTGTTTGCTACTGTTGCATCCACACACTTCAACCAGCAAATTTCTATCCATCTGCTTCAGTCGAGTCAGTGGCCTGGTAATAGTTTCTCTTAGCGTAGTGTTGCAGGTCAAAAGTCTTCCAACGAAGCGCTGCATTCTTCTATTCTGTGCATAAAAATACAAGTGAATATTGATGAGTGTAAGTCTATAACTTAAATAAAAAGAACTGCTATTTTTTTATTTCACATCCACAAAGAAATTTATCCTATTTTATGGACTGAACTTAACACTTACCTACCTGGTAATTGAGTTAGCGCATTGATCAATTTTCTGAGAATAAGGATTTCAAGTTCATAAGTTTTCTCCTTAAAGTTATTCGTAATTGAGAGTTTTTTGATGATATCGCTATTAAGTTATTCTCATCCCTTTATTATTTTCATTTGTTTCAGCTCCTGTTAATTTGTAAATTGTTGAGTTTGGAATAGGGTTTACACTTTACTCTGGGTTATTCAGCTCTACTTTGATAGCGTTATGCAACATTTGTATTTTGTATTCACTAGTCACTGTGTAAACGTAAATTTGTTATACCTCTCTGTCTCTCTCTCGCTGGTCCTTAACAGGAAACTGATTTGAACTTCATTCACTTATTCTGCTTTCTTGTTTTCACTTTGCTCCTCTTTTGAGCTTATGACTTTGTTAAATTACTTCGATTATACTTCTTAAATACTGTAAATGTTATCAATATTGCTATTGTCATTTTTTTTCTTCTTTGAGTTCACTGTGGTCGTTTTGGTCACTGTCTTATATGCATACGTGTAATCCTTTGGAAACAATACGTAATGATGTTTGTTTACAAATTATTATAGTCTTCAATGCTTCTTCATATGTATTGTCATTGATAAAATTGGTTTCAGCTTCCATTTTTTCTATGTTTTTAACATCCTCCTCCTCCTTTAGGGAGGTCATTTATTTTGTGTGTCCTTAGAGCATCAGCACGTTTCGTACCCCATGGTATTTTAAGAATTGTCCTTGTGCGAACTTGGTAGACACAGAGGTCAGTCACTAATTATTCGTACTTGTAACATACCCTCAGATACGAAACCAAGGAAGAACACAATAGCGTAGTCAGATGGAATAGTATATTTGTAAGGTCGTGCCAAAATACCGATGCTTTCCAACTAGCTGGCTAGAGGGTCGATTATGAGCAGTACAACGTAACACGACAGCGTGCCAAATGGCATGGATGCTTGACCGTATGCCTTCAGCTTAGCGAGTTTGATAAAACTATGAAGGTCAGCATCAATGTTGAATCTCGTTGAACCCTAGACTGTTGCTTCTGGGGAAGTATGTGGCGCTACAGTGTAGTGTGATAGCTAGTTAGGTTTCTTAAATTGTTTCATAAATAAATTATGAGCTAGGGTTATGTAATAAGATATTATTTAGTACAGTTTAACTGCAAATAGCAAATTTTACCTGTTTTCAGCTGATAAAGTGGTGTTTAGTGATCGGAGTTTCTCTTTTCAATAATATTCGTTGAAAGTAAACTTCCAGTTAAAAAGAAGGGTCTACAAACACTTGATTAGTGTTATCATATGATCATGACTAAGTCAAGTTTTGATAACTTTTCTATCGGAAACTGTTGTATCTTTACCCTGATACTACTTCCTACTAGTTACTAGGTCCAAAGTCGATCCTAATACCATACTTGTAACACCTAAAACAAGGAAAATATAGCATATATGGAGGCTACCTTGTCTAATGTATTTGCCAATAATATGTTGAAATGTACGACATCTAAAGAGAGAGCAGGTCACCTACTCAGAAAATAATAAATCATAATAATGGATGGACAGAACAGTATCAAACGCCACCCCTTAATAATACATCTCGATTGCCGGAATTGTGGTTTCTGGTCAACCAGTCACGTATATAAAAGAAACAAAAAGAAGTCGGTTATTCAGAATTTCACTGTGATTTGGGTGTAATATACTCATGTATCTGAAAGATAAAGTTGATATAAATTATATTCTACGGATATTACTTTCGTCATTATGACATTCATTTGAAGTAGTTAGAAGTATAACACTATAAACGCTTCGTGATTTCTTTCTAAGAAAAAGAACCTATACTGCACGATAAACCCTAATGAGAAATCTAGCCAATGCACGACTGAAAACACGTAACATTTGAGCACACACGTAATGTTCGTTAAACCCTATTCAGGCATACAGTTAAATGCCATGGAGAAGATGTTCACACATCAAGAGGTTAGAAATCTGAGACTGATAGTAGTTGTATAGTTAACTGACTTTGCAATTAAAAAAACACACAACTTACTATTTAACAAGAGCGTAGACAGTCAGTTGACGAAACGGTTTACAAATTCAGAAAATCAATTATTAGAATCAAAACAGAGCGTATAACTGACACATCAAAGGGGTGAGAATATTTCATGAACATTTGGTAAAAAGACACCTAAGTAAACTCAAGTTGACACTTAAAAATGCTCTACATGTTAGTGACAAATACAAAATTGAAAGCAACCAGATGTACCATTATGATGCACGAGTCAAGTTATCATCATTTTCAGATCGAGTCATAACGCCATATAGATTACTGGAGGGTGAAGGAAGATCAGTGTAATATCCTAATTTCCTCTGTATACATAGTTCTGTTTTGGTAGCAATAGACTCAACGGTTTGCACAAGATGAATTCTTAACAGGTGATGAGGTATTTTGTAAATCACTGATGTGTATTTCCTGTCCATTAATATGACTAGTGTTGTTCAGGCGTGATTTTATGGAGCTAGTGAGTCTTCGTTTCACTTTATGTCCATAAAACAGATGAGTGCTTCTTAGCACTTTGTGGCGGACACCTCATACTGTGTCCCATAAAACTCACTTCACAAGAGTGGTTGAATTTATAAATGCACATCGATGTGGACATATGACGAATCCTGTATTTCAGCCATGGTGATAAAAGATATCTAGTTATGAAAGTTATCCTTCAATTTTCTGCTGGGAACGTCTTTCTCAAAGATCGTTATATTCTGTGAGTGAGAATTTCGGTGAAATTATTTTTTTTAAAACTGCAATCTTGGGATCGATATCTTTTCAGAAATGGAGCAAACCTGTTTATTTTTTCAATATTCTTTATGAAACTTTCTGGTTAGTTGTTTTGTGTCAATCGGAAGGAAGCCTTGCGTGACCTGGGTTTTGTGCTTGTTCGTTCTTGTCAGCAAGGTGTATCTGCAACCTCGGAAGAACTTTTGTCCACCGTGAGATTGGAACCGGCATCACCCATCGTTGTAGTCAGCGATATTACCACTATGCTGTTTAGGTAGTTCCTCATCGATTACTTTTTGGAGCCCTTTATCTTAGTTCTATCTGCTAAAGTCTAGTTAGGTATCTTTTCTGCCACAAAGGTACTAATCTAAGTGTTTGAATCGGTGTAACCAAGATAATTTTCTATAACTGTTCGCAAATTTTGTTTCATCCTACCATTTACGCGCGAAACGTTTTTTAAGTGTCTAGCTTCATGTGAAAAAGTTATCTTTAGTTACACTACTCCGAAATTTTTGACTAGGTGATCCAACTTAGCATTCTTGTAAAAAGTAAAGGTGTTGTAAGGGTCTTGTTGTGCTACTACTGCATACACTTGACCAGCCTTACGTAAATCAGTGTGCACCAGTACTAACATAATCATTACCTTACCTGTAAGTACTGATAACAAAAGACAAGAAAACATAATGTAGTAAAACGTGCTTAGACAACCAGTTTATTTATTAGACAGAGGTAAGGAGGTTGTATTAGGGGATGAATATTGACTTGCCTATCTATCAATGGCTAAACTAGGGACTGTGGGCTAGTTACTGCCGATCAGCAAAAATGGTGGATGTCGAAAGGTGGATCCCAACATGGTAAAATGAAAATACAGAACTAAAGTCACCCTTCAGCACTGTAATAGATTATTTAGTTGTCATTTCGTTACTTTAACTATTTATTTATTTATTTCTAACCTAGTAGTATTATTTGGCCAAGAGAGTGCACTACAATATCATTTTATATCTCTAAACAGCTGTTTGTGTTTACCAAGAACACTCGCTAGGAATTGGTGATGGCTAGGGAGACTTGCAGAGAAAGCTGTGTGCTTGGTGAACGTTACGTGGAATCGTTTGAGGAAGAGTTTTATTATCTGACGATTTTCAACCCTTGTGTTTCAATGGGAAATGAACACATACCCCTTAACTTTGACCTAAGTCTAAATCCGCTTACGATTCTAGAACTAAGCGAAACTATCGTCCTCCAGGAGTGTTTATTAACGAGGATAAGAAATTTAAAGTTAAGGTAGGTGAGGTCCTATTTGCATTGTACGCTATAGCCTTTTTAAAAAGGTCTCCATGTTTAATGACACCGGTTTAAAAGCAATTTCGAATCTTTGTGTAATCTCCATCATCCTAAGGTTCATGTTCATTTCCTCCTCGTTAGACCTGACCGCCGCTGTCAACTGTAACCTTAATCTTCACTAAAACACCGGTGTGACTACTAGTGTAACACATCACTCACATTCTTTAATTCGAGGGTAATATTGACCTTGTCATGAAACAGTGTTCAGTTTTGAAGTGAATGCCAAAAACGTATCTCAAACTAATAGATGTCCTCTAATCGAACTGACACAATTGTATGGGATGCACAAAGACATAATGGTTACCAGTAATATACTTCAAGGCCACCTATTACCAGCATTCTTATTCAACATAACCATAAACACATTGGTAAAAGTTAGTCTCCTCGTCTACTTATCAAGCACTATCTCCCTTAGTGAGCTTCTGACTAGCCTTAAATATGAAAAAGATTTAGACTGGCTTCACGTAAGTGCCGAAAAATTACAGGGGTCGAATTAACTTACTGGGCGAAAACTGAGTGTTGAATCTTTTTCATTTATCATTTCCAAGGTGATCTAATAAAGGTAATAGTCTGCACTGACACATAGTTTAAAGACATTGAAATTGGACACACTGAGGACTTTATTTCTTCGGGGAGCTACGCAATTCCCCACAGATTTATCACACTCGAAATCCTTGATATGTGTCTGTAAGATATCCTTTTGCCCACATTCCATCCTTATCTACGGTATAAAGACAAGCGTGGAATAATGAGGTTATGGAGATGCTACAGACTTTCATGGAATATTATTTATATGTTGTGGAACCATCAAAAGAGAGATTATAAGATCCTCTACATTCTGTTAGGTGAAAAAGATAAAGTGATCAGGAATATCACGAACATGTACCAATAAGAGTAGATGGGACAGACGATGTCCATACTCAACCACCAACTATCATACTACACTTAATAGAGCACGATTACTTTGAGAAAAGGTAAATCGTGTTCAGATAAAAACACGTTGCAAAAGTTACTTATTATTTATCTAAACTGCATGAAATATAACTGATCGTTTGTTTAGAGTCCACAGAATATTGCAAATTATGAAGTGTACATTGTAGATGATACTACGCAAAGTTGACCATAATGGCTTTAATATGTTTATACCTAACCATCGTCGGATCTTGGGTATTGTTTCACTCCATTCATATTTGTTCTGTCTTACAATTTCCCACTTGCATATTTTGTCATTGTCATATTTTGTTAGCTTCCAGTGCTGGTATGAGTTTTGGATCACTTACATATTGTGCATATTTCTTTGATATTGATTTAATCTGCGCTTAATGATGTGATAGCGAAGTCAACGGGCTGTTACACTTTCTAGTTGAGACATCATAAACGTCTTCAGACACAAAATCTGGACTTCGATAATTATTGTTTACACCATTTGGCAAACTCAACATTGCGTTTGAACAACAACTAATCAACTATTTTTTTTACTTTTCATCTGTTTGCTAAGACAAAAAAGGGCATA